GTAGGATTGTTGCTTTTAAATCCATAACCTGAATAAATCAGACCCCTCCCCCATCTGTCATCTCCCAGATTCATTTGGAGCTGCTGTTTAACTGTCAGGACTGAAGAGGTTGCGTGTCTCTCAGTGCTTGGCAGTCCACATCTTTTCTTCACTCCATTTTTTTCTAGACGAGGCTTTCTTATGGTGAGAGACTTTACCCTGAACTTTGGAGGAAGGTGTGGTGGTGGGAGGGAGGTGAAAGATTGCTTCAAGAATGTGGGCAGGAGGTAAAGTAGAGAAGAAAAAGAGGGGAAGGAAACCCTCGAGGTGAGGGTATGGGGGAACGACTAAGTGACAGGAGACGTTTGCAGTCCTGGTGGGTAAGGCTTGTGTGACGGATGAGATGAGGAGCTGCTGGGCAAAAGTCATTTGCCATGTGGTGGCATGCCCTAGATGGCCATGTCTTGCTCTCAAGGCTGTTGAGTGGCTGCACCAGCAGCCGGAGATTTTGGTGAGCTTAATTTGTGCTGCAAGACTTGAACTCTCCTGTTCTCTTTCAGCTTGTGCCTCTGGACGCTTGAGCAACAAAATGAATAACGATGATGATGGATTGTAAGCCACAGAATAAAACAAATATCTGTTAATTCATACTGATAGAAATAAATAACTACGCCACGGAGAGGAGGAGTCAGCTCCTCCCCACAGTAATGTCACCGTGGACGCGCAGGTATGGCAGGAGTAGGTCTGAAGTCTGTTATTTTCTCAACTAGGTCTTGGATTATTGCCTTTCATAAGCATGCTTCAGCAAGTACGAAGACTGAGTAAACTCAGGCGATGCTTACTGGGAAACTGGGAGAAGCAGCAGCCATGTGCTCCAAAGTCGAGCTGTCAGAGTCTTCACAAAGCTCATTGTGATTCACAAATACAGAAGAAAACCACTTCGCACCTGGGGACAACTCCTTATCATTGCTGACCTTAGTGCATTTTTCAGGGGCTGGGGTTGATTCAGTGGCTTGAACGTTGAGCTGTGTTATTAGGTTGGGCTGAGGGAAGCCTCGGGTCTCCAAGTCCAGGTGCCAGACAGGCTCAGTTGGTGTCATTAAACTGGCATCTGCTGACCTACATGTGGTTTACTGGCTGGAGTATCACTGGAGCAGAGGAAGTCTCTGGCTCTGGTGGATAGACGTGGGAGATATAGCTCTGTGCTAACCACCTAGAGACACTCTTAGTTGGCCATGGGTCTTTCTCTCTCTCTCTTATTCGCTAGCTCTCGCTCTTGCTCTTACTCTCATGTTTTTCTTTCTTTGGAGTTATTTTAGACTTGCAGAAAAGTTGCAGAAGCAGTGTGTGGAGTTGCCATACTTGCCTTGCCCTGCTCCCTGGAGTCATGTAAGCACGGTGCTGTTACCAGCAGATACCACTACTACAGTACCACTAGCTCATCTATGTACTTCACCTGAAGTACATTATTTTCCCCACCAATGTCCCTTTCCTGGCCCAGGATTCAGACCAGGATCCACTGCACTTAGCTGTCATATTGTCTCAGTTTCCCTGATCTTTGACAGCTACTCATTCTTCTGCGAAGTTCCTCGCAACCCTGGCACTTAAAGGATAATTGGGCTGCTCTCCTGTAGAATAGTCTCACCACCTTCCTTGAATTTGCCTGCTGTTTTCTCATGATTAGACTGAGGTTATCCACGTTTGACAGGAACGTAACAGAATAACGCCATGTCCTGGCAACCTACCCCATCAGGGCACGTGTTTGCAACATGACTTGTTCCCAGAGCTGCTGACTGATCCCTGGCTAGGGTGGTATCTGCAAGTTTCTCCACTGTAATGTTATGATTTTTGTTTTTGTAAATAGCAAACATACTGTGGGGTGGGGGGTACTTGAGACTCGGCAGACGTCTTGTTTCTCATCATACCTAGTCTACAAGCTCCAGCATCCACTGGTGATTCTGACTTGCAGCCATCATGACTTTGTTGTTTTTTGCTGGTGATTTTCTACTTCCCACAGTCCTTCCACATTTACGAATCATAATCCAATCGTGAGGAGGAGCTGACTCTTCCTTCCTATTTGTGTATTTATTCAAACATTTGTCTACATCGCTGTGGTTTATAGGTATTTATTATATGGATTGTAATCGTTATTGTTCTAATTCATTTGGCTATTGAAAGTGCCTTTCAATTGGCTCCTGTGTCTTTTGGACATAATTCCATGACATCATGAGCCATTCCTTACCTTTTGGTGTCTCAAGATGTCCTGGACTCATCTTTTATTCTTTGCCCCGGTCCTACGAACAAGTATTTCCTCAGGAGTCCTGTAATGAACAATGATATTTAGAAACCAAAATATCTCTGATCAGTGTGCTCATTGCTATTGGGTGTCTGTAGGTTCGTACAGTGGATGGAACTAAGAAAGCTATGTCTGTATACTCACACATGCACATACACGTTTATTTCTGTATACATGTGTGTATATTAAAATGCTTGAGGAGATACTGATACCACAAACTCCAATTAAACATCATGGGCATTTCTTAAGGGAGTTCTCATAATCGTTTATAAATAACATAGAGAATAGGTGTTCTCTAAGGCCTGGAAATAATCAAATATTAAAATCCTCTTCATCCTTAACATTTTAATGATGTTAAAATGTTAGCACCTCACTCTTGACGAGAAAATCTTTAAACCCCTTACCACAGTTTCCAGTTGACAAAATCTTCTCTTTTACCTAAGCTTTACGTCCAGTGTGTTGTAGGAAGTAGATTTTATAAGACAGAAATCATGCTGTGATGATTTCCCAGGCTGTCTGATATTCCAGTGGGGGCTCACATTCTCTGATTCTCAACTGTAATACAAATGCCCGGGTCAGATTGCAGGCTGTAGCCCCTCTGGGGTGGTCCAGATCCCTTCAACATTTCTGCACTCAGAAGTATCTCCATCCGTAGATCATACATACGACTCGTACTCTGGGGATTTGAATAGGGCATACAGGGTTGGTCATCTTACTTTAATCATCCCAGAAGAGCGTGTACATGTATTCAGAATTTCTCAGCTCTTCAGAATTCTGAATATGAAGAGATCTGTGCCTTCTAATAATCATAGCAGTTTTTAGTGACTTTCCCATTTCTGAGTAGAAAGTACATAAAGAAAGGGGGTCTGCAGAAGTTCCATCCACAGACAGTGGTGACTGAGTGTGAGGGAGGTAGGGACCTTTCCCAAGGACATCTGATGCCCAAGAGTCAGCTGGTGTTGCCATGGCATGTACCTGTGTCTCAGGGGTACACTCCTTCTCTTGGGGGACACTCAAGAAACCTTACAACTGTGTTCCTGAGGTCACATGTCTATGGTCCCTGCCGAGATCTCCAGCCTCAGCAAGGGCCAGGGCTGTAGTACACAGTAATTATGTACCCTTGACAGACATTGTGTACCTGTTGTGTGCTCGGTAGGTAATGGTTTAAAAAGAAAAGGGGAGAGGGGCAACAAACTGGCTATTTGAAAACATATAGTTTCCTGGCAAAATGGCGGTGAAACAGGTGGAACGATGAATTTCTCCACAAAAGCGAGTGCCCATAAAGATTCTTTGCATGAGTGGGTGTGTGCCAGTGGGTGGGTGAGAGTCTGCCTGAGGGGAGATTCGGGTTCATGCACCTGGGGCTCTCCTCTGGAGGTGACTACAACCCCTCACCGCCCTGAGATTGGAGCTGACAGTGTGCAGGGTCGTCTGCTGTTCTCAGGGCTCACCTGAGGAAAGGCTGTGGAATACAACTGATCCTCATCACCAACTGACACCTGACCCACACCGTCACCTGTGACAGCAGAGTGGCTGGAGCCCTGGACCTGGGGGGGAGAAAGAGAAAGCAGGTCAGGGAGAGCTGGAGAGGACCCCCACCGCCAGTGAGGAAAAGCCAGCTGGAGCCATTTTCTCCATCCCGGGACTGGGCAGAGACCTGCATTGCCCCACCTAGCTCTTCCCATCCTCCAGCCTGGGACCTGGAGGCTATCGCATCAAGCTCGGAGAGACAGACACTCCTCTGCCACGCTGGAACAGGCACAAACACTTCACATCTGAGTGGGAGACTTGACAACAGCAGCAGCAAGCTGGAATTAAAGAAGAGGTAAAAAAAAAAAAAAAAAAGAGGGGAGAAAAATCTACATAAATGAGGAAAAGCCAAAAGAACATGGGTTTCACACAGACCCCTGGGAGGCCAGCCACTGAGAATACAGACTTCGGAATGCAAACCATGAAGAGCCCCATAATGACTGGTCTCAAACCACAAACCCAGATATCATGACATTAATAGAGAGAATAAATAGAATTGAGAAGAGACGAGAGCTATGAATAAGAAGTTGATAACTGAGATAACAGCAATAAAGAATACAGTGAATGAAATAAATAACAAACTGATAAGCATGGAAAGCAGAATTAACCAAGCAGAAGAAAGAATCTCAGAGCTTGAGGACCAAAATATGGAACTAACCCAAACTGTAGGAAAGAAACTTTAAAAGACAGAACAAAATCTCTGAGAGATGAGTGATTATTTCAAGAGGCTGAACCTAAGATTAATTGGAATTCCTGAGGCAGATAGACAGAGACTACCCTGGAACAAACATTCCATGAAATTATTCAGGAAAACTTCCCTCATCTCATCAGTGACATGACCATTCAAACATAAGAGATTCAGAGAACCCCTGCAAGACAACAAATGAGAAGACTAACTCCTAGGAACATGGTAATTCACCTACACAAAGTAGTTACAAAAGAAAAAATCCTAAAGGCAGCAAGAGAAAAAGGTCAGACCACCTACCGGGGAGGATCGATTAGAATAGCAGCAGACTTATCTATAGAAACACTTCAGACTAGGAGAGCTTGGAGCTAAATCTTCAAAGTTCTCCAAGATAAACTATTTCAACCAAGAATTACCTACCCAGCTAAACTAAACTTCATTGGTGATAGAGAATTAAAATCCTTCCCAGACATTCAAACCCTAAGAACTTATGCTGCCTCCAGACCAGCTCTACAAGAAACATTGAAGAAAGTATTAAACACAAAAGAAAGGAAAAAAAGAACACCCTTCCCAAGAATGCAGGAAAAAGATTGAAAACATACATGAATCAACCCAAAAAAATCAAAAGAAAGAAAACAAACAAACAGCAGCAACAACAACAAACTATAAGAACCTCATGACAGGGATAAACTCTCACATTGCAATAATTAGCCTGAATGTGAATGAACTAAATGCACTACTGAAAAGACAGAATGGCAAATTGGATAAAATATGAGGCAACAGTATACTGTCTCCAAGAGACTCATCTCACCAGAAATGACACTCACAGACTCAAAGTAAGAGGATGGGAGATAAAATTTCAAGCGAATGGAACACGAAAGAGAGCTGGAGTTGCAGTCTTAATATCAGACAAAATACCCTGTAAGCTACCAAAAAATTAAAAAGATATGGAAGGTCACTACATAATGATAAAAGGTTCAGTCTATCAGCAAGAAATATCCATCCTAAACATATATGCACCCAACATAGGAGCACCAGCTTTCATAAAGCAACTTCTAGGTAAACTTAAAAAAGATATTGACTCAAACACTATCATAACGAAGGACTTAAATATCCCACTCACAACCCTAGACAGATCATCAAGGCAAAAAATCAACAAGGAGATCCAGAACCTCCGCATGACACTTGACCAAATGGACTTAATTGATACCTAAAGAACACTTTACCCAACAACCACAGAATATACATTACACTCGTCACCACATGGAACATCGACCACATCCTCGGCCATAAATTAGGCATAAACAAATTCCATAAGACTGAAATACTGCCAGGCACCTTCTCATACCAGAGTGGAATAAACATAAATATCAACACCAACAAAGTTCCCCCAAAACCCACATACACGTGGACACTAAACGACATGATGCTAAACAACTCCTGGGTCAACGTGGAAACCAAAACAGAGATTAAAAGAGACCTGGAACAAATGAAAATGAAGAAACACCTTACCAAAACCTCCGGGACGCCATCAAAAGAGTACTAAGAGGGGAATGCATATCTCTACGAACACACATGAAGGAAATGGAAAGATCATAAGTTAGCAGCCTAACAGATCACCTAAGGAAGCTGGAAAAGCAAGACCACCAAAACCCTAACTTCAGCAGAAGAATCCAGATCACCAAAATAAAAGCCCAAATTCGGGACACAGAAGACAAAAAGATAATACAAAAAAACAACAAAACAAAGATCTGGTTCTTTGAAAGGATAAACAAGATTGATGAACTCCTAGCTAGACTGACCAAGAAAAAGAGAGAAAAAGTCCAAATAAACACAATCAGAAA